CCCGTGTCCCCTGCATCGGCAGGCGGACTCTCAACCACTGCACCACCAGGGAAGCCCAGGGCCTGTTCTTTGACAGGTACCCCCAGAGATGCGAGTTGGTCTCCAGCGTAACCTGGAGAGATTCAAGGAGAGAGGAGAGGCATGAAGTAATCATTAGGTGTGTGTGGATCTGCAGAAGGACTAGGGTGGACGAAGAAATGCCTCTCTCGCTATTGCATCAAACAGCCCTCTTACAGAACGTTTGCTTCTCCCCCATAACCTTGGGCTCAGTAGGTTTGGAGGTCCTAGTGCACAAGAAGGAACACTCTCCCCAGAGAACACAATCTTGATCCCATTAAATTGGCCACTTCGGGGCTTCTCGTGCTGCTGAACCAACTGTACTGGTCGGGTTGACTTGTCGCAGTTACCAGGGGAAACTGGATTGCGGGGACAGGATAGGCCACGGAGAGCAGTATCTGAACCAGAGGGTTTGCTGGAGTGCCTCACAAGTCTCCTCAGTCCAAAAATAATGGCCAGTGGGAAACTGGTGACTCAAGCAAGATAGGACAACTAAGAAGTTGAATCTTATGGGAATGAAGACGGGGGCCACCCCTGTCAAGAGGCAAGGGAAATACAGACGGGGCAGTGGAAGAAGGAAGCTAAGGTCTTGTGACCAGCAACAAGCGGGCTTTCTCTTTCTTCCTTTTTTCCTGTTACCTTCTGTGCAGAGCAGTGTCGGTCACTAACGCTATTCCTATTGGAATTATGACTGACTGACAGCACCTCACTGCGATCAGGGGCTGTTGGGACCTGGTGTTTCCCCTGGGTGGGACCACAAGATTTATTCCTCTAAGCGAAGGACAAAAAGTCTCTCCTGATCCGTTCTCTGTCCTTCTCCTGCCTGCTGTGTGTCCCAGGAGGCTGACCTTGACAGACTGCATCATCCGGACTGCCTCACCTTCCGGCTTCTAGTTGGATGTGGCCAGTGGAAGCGCTGCAGGACATCAGAGGTAGGTCAGGGGATTTATCATGGTTTCGACAGTGGCTGCGTGTCCCTACAGTCCCTGCTGCACAGACCCTCTTCCACAGCCTTGACCCCTTGTGGTCCTGACAGCGCCATCCCCTCTCCTTGCCCCCTTGGTCTCCGTCTAATGCTAGTGTCTGGATGCTGCATCATCATTATTGGTTCCTTTAGCCCTGCCCACATCGCGCAAAGAGGCCCTTCATTAACTTTCTTCAATTAAACCTTCTCTCTGTGCCATAGACTTCCTGCTGGGAGCCTGACTGATCTTCGGACCTTTAAGTAATTCAGCTTTACTGAAGCAAAAAGTTTAAGGTGGGAGGAAATGGTAAGAAAGGAAGCTGTACGGAGAGGGTGACCAGTTATGAGAGGCTTTGTGTACTGTGATAATGTCCGTTTTACACGCACGGGACAAGCTACCTAACCTCTCTGTGCCTCAGTTTCGTCCCCTATAAAATAAGGATAATGATAGCACACACCTTTGGAGTGACTGTGAGGATTAGATTAAAGAGCAGTGCCTGGCACAGCAAGTGATAGCGTTGTTAGGAACACTGAGTGATTGCAGGGTTTTAAACAAGGAAGTGACCAGGTCAGATTTGGTGGTTCAGAAGGTTACTCTGGAGGAAGTGTGGAGAAGGCGTGGGGTTTGTCAGTGAGCAAGTGGAATGAAACAAGACTAGAAGCAGGAACACCAGGAAGGGGACTACTGCAATAGTCTTAGCAATAATAATAATAATAACTTATGAAGAACTACCATCCAAACAAGGAATTAAAGAAAGAGGATGATATAGGTTACAAGAAACAGGAATTCCAACACAATATCTGGGATCTTTAGGAATTTCAATTTTGCTGAAGCCTGAATAGCAAGGAGGGGGTGAAGGAAGAGCCGCCCCTCCCCCAGCCCCACACCTACACTGTCTGGGGTCCAGAGAGGATCCTTCTAGCTCGCTGTCACTCTCTCCACCATTGCTCCCATCTTAATTCCTGATACGCCGACCATCCACATAGAGGATACTTCCAGAACCTTGGCCTCTCAGTTTCTTAAACTCCTCTCCCGCTCTGATCCTGATTCTCCGCCCTCCCTCAGCCACTCGCTTCCACAGTCTTACCCTAGACCTCGTCATTAACATGACTGCAATCTTCCCACGCCCAGATCTTCACCCCAAGCCTCCAAAACCTCCTCCGTCCTCACACTCAGTAGTGAGTTTGCTCCCGTTTTACCAAGGAAGCAGCAGCAGTCAGAAGAGAGCTTCTTCCACAATCACTCTGCCCGCCCACCAGCCTCTGTGTCCCCAAACTCTCCCCTCCTGCCTGTTCTCTGCTAAGTCATCCCAGAGACCCCGAGTTAATGGGTTAGGGGTGTGGCCTGGGCTGGAGATCTTTAAGTGCTCCCAGATGACTTTAACGTCCATCCAAGGTTGAAAACTGTTGCTGTAGATGAATGACCCGTGCTCTCCCCTCTTACCTACACAAGGACGTTGTTCCAGAAATCGTTCCCTCCCTCCCAGCATCATTCATTTGTCCCTCCACTGGCTCTTTCTTATCAGCTACGAACATGCTCTTAATTCTCCCAATTTAAAGAAAGCTTTTCCACCCCATTTCTCCCTCCAGCTACTGCTTCACTGCAAAACCTCTCTGAAGGGTACTTGTGTCTGTAATTCCTCTTCTTCCCTTTGCCCCATGGACCCACCAAGGCTGTTGCTATCACGTTCACCAACGGCCTCCTCAGGGCTATAGCCTGTGGCCGCTGCTCGGTCTTCCACTTCAGTGACAATCGGCAAAATCTGTCACAGTGACCACTGCCTTCTCCCTAGAATGTGTCCTCAAACTGCCTTCCAGGATGCTACATTCTTCTGGTTTTCCTCCTAATTTGTGGGCCCTTCTCATCCTTTCTTTGTTTCTCCTGTTATCTGACCCCTTAACACTGGACTGCCCCAAGGCTCAGGCTTTGGACCTCTTCCCTAACCATGTTCATTCTCTTGGGACCCTCATCCAGTCTTGTGGCATTAATACTTTCTAAACATTGACTGCTACATGTACATTTCCAGCCTAAATGCCCGATGCCTACATCCAAGTGCCAACTGGACATCTCTTCTTGAATGTCTAGCAAGCATCTCACATGCATCACGTGCAGAATGGAGCCCCGACCTCTTCTCAAACACGCTCCTCCCGGCACTTGCTCCATGCCGTGAGTGCACGGCAGCTCCGTCCTCTGGGGGGGCGGGGGGGCTCGGGCTCAGTCCTTGTAACCTGCAGGACTGCCACACCCACGGTCAACCTGAGAGCAAATCCCAGTGGCTCTGCTTTCCTAATATACTCAGAATGCAACTATTTCTCACCATCTCTATTACTACCTTTTATTCAAATCCGGTCTCTGTATCACCTGAGTGATTGGACAGCCTCCCATCTGGCGCCCTCGCTCTTGCCTTGCCCCCTACCGTGACTGCTCAGCATGGCAGCCGTATTGGTCCAGTTCCACGTAAGTCAGATCATGTCTGTCCCGCTCAAACCCTCCAACATTTTCCCATCTCATTCACGGTAAAAGGCAAGGCTCTCAAAATAGCCTACAGAGCCCTGCGTGGTCCCTTCTCCCCGCCCCCCATCCACACATAGGCTATTATCTCTCTGACCTCAGAGCTTCCAGCTATACACAGGCCCGTAAACCCAGGGCCTTTGCACTGGGTGTTCCCTCCTGACCCCGCTCCCATAGCGAACTTTTCATCTCCCTTCCCTAGTTTTTATAAATTGAACTTTTTATTTGGGGATAATTGTCAATTCACATACAGCTGTAAGAAATAATACAGAGAGGCCCTGTTTATCCTTCAGTTTCTCCCAGTGGTGACCTCTTGCAAAACTATTGTATAATATACAGTGAATATGTTGGTCATCTGTGGCTACTGTAAAAATTACCACCAACTAGGTGACTTAAAGCAATAGAAATTTATTCTCTCACAATTCTGCAGGCGAGAAGTCCCAAACCAAGGTGTAGGCAGCGCTGTCTCCCCTTCCGGGGGCTCTAGGAGAGAATCTGCTCCTTGCTTTTTCCAGCTTCAGGTGGCTGGTCCGCTGCACCTTCCACTCCTCTGTCTTCACATCACCTTCTCCTGTGCGTGCGTGCCCACGCATGTGTAATCTCCTTCTGCCTCTCTCTTATAAGGACACTTGTAATGACATTTGAAGCCCACACGGATAATCCAGGATAATCTCCTGATCTCAAGATCCTTGATTTAATTACATCTGCAAAGACCTTTTCTCCAAAGAAGGCAGCATTTACAGGTTCTGGGCACTAGGTTTGGACCCACCTCTGGGAGCCATTACCAACTTCACATAGCAGTGAAGACAGGACCATTCCCATCACCACAGAATTCCTCAAGTTGCCCTTTATAGCCACACCCACTTCCCTCCCATCCCCACTCCCTCCTTAACACCTGGCAACCACTAATCTGTTCTCCATCCCTATAATTTTGTCATTTCAAGAATGTTATATAAATGGAATCACACAGTATGTAACATTCTGAAACTAGCTTTTTTCACTCAGCATACTTACTTTGAGTGTCACCTGTGTAGTTGTATGTATCAATAGCTTATTCCTTTTCATTGCTTAGTGGGAGCCCATGGTATGGATATGCAAGTTTGTTTAACCCACCATTCACCCACCAAAGGACACTTGGGTGGCTTCCAAGTTGGGGCTATTATGAATAAAGCTGCTATGAACATTCATAGGCAGATTTTGGGGTGAACATAAGTTTTCATTTCTCTGGGACGAATGCCCAAGAGTGCAATTACTGTGTTAAGTGAGTGTTTAGTTTTATAAGAAAATGCCAAACTGTGTTCCAGAGGACCAGTTTGCATTCCCACCAGTAATGTAGGGGTGAGTTGTTCAGATTCTCTACATCTTCACTAGCATTAGGTATTGTCACTAGTTTTTATTTTAGCCATTCTGATAGTTTCTAGTCTAATGGTTAGAGGCAGTGAACAGCCTTCTATGGGCTTATTCACCACCCTTATGTCCTCTTTGGTGAAATGTCTGTTCATGTCTTTTGCTCATTTTCTGATTGGATTGTATGGAGTTTTAAGCATTCTTTGTATAGTCTAAATACTAGTCATTTGTCTGATATGTGTTTTATACATATTTTCTCCTATCCTTTAGCTTTTATTGTCATCTTCTTAGCAGAGTCATTCAAGAGCAATTTTTAAAAATATTTATCAGTTTTCCCTTTTATGGATGGTGCATTTGGTGTCAAGTCAAAGCACTGTTCACCTTGCCCTAGATCCCAAAGATTTTCTCTGATATTTTTTCTAAGGGTTTTATAGTTTTATCTTTTACATTTAAATCTGTGATCCATTTTGAGTTAATGCTGTATAAGGTGTGAGAGTTAAGTGGAGTTCATTTTTACATCTTTGGACGTCCAGTTGTTCCCACACCATTTGGTGAAAGGTTATCTTTTCTCCATTGAATTGCTTTTGCACTTCTGTCAAAAATCAGTTGAGCATATTTGTGTGAGTTTATTTCTGGGTCCTCTGTTCTGTTCTATTGATCTACGTATCTATCCCTCTGCCAATATCACATTGTCTTGATTACTGTAGCTATAGAATAAGCCTCAACATGGGGGAGAGTGATTCTTCCACTTTATTCTCCTTTTTCAAACATGTGTTAGGTACTCTAGTTCCTTTGCCTTTTTATATAAATTTTAAAATAATCTTCTCTTTATCTACAAAAACTCTTGCTGGGATTTTGATAGGAATTGAGTTAACCTGAATATCAATTTTGAAAGAACTGATGTCTTTACTAGGTCAAATCTTCCAAACCATCTACATGCTATGTCTCTCCATTTATTTCGGTTTTCTTTGATTTCTTTCATCATCATTGGGTAGTTTCAGCATATAAATCCTGCACATGTTATATTTACACTAAATAGTTCCATCTTTTGAGTAATTGTAAATGGTATTTTTTTTTTTTATTTCAGTGTCCACATGGTCATTGCTAGTACATAGAAATGCTATTGATTTTTGTGTCCTTTTATAATCTGTGGCCTTGCAGAACTCACTTATTAGTTCTAGGAGGTTTGTTTGTTTGTGGGCTTTTTTTTAAAGATTTATTGGGATTCTCTGTGTAGACAGTCACGTCATCTTCAAATAGGGATACTTTTATTTCTTCTTTAGGATTTCTATGTCTTTTCTTTCCTTTTTTTGCCTTGTTACTCTGGCTAGAACTTCCAGCAATGTGTTGAATAAGAGTAACGAGAGTGGACATTTTTGCCTTTTTCTGGATCTTAGGGGAAAAGCATTCAGTTTTTCACAGTTAAGTGTAGTGTTAGCTCAAGGTGTTCTGTAGATGCCCTTTATCAAGTTGAGGAAGTTCCCTCTATTCCAATTTTTCTGAGAGTTCTCATCATGAATGGGTGTTGAATTTTGTCAAATGCTTACTCTGCATTGATTGATGTGATCATTTGATTTTACTTCTTTAGCTTGTTAATATGGTAGGTTACATTGATAGAGTTTTTAAAAAATATTTATTTAGTTATTTATTTTGGCTGCTCCGGGTCTTAGTCGCAACATGCGGGATCTTTGTTGCAGCACGCGGACTTCTTAGTTGCGGCATGCATGAGGGACCTAGTTCCCCGACCAGGGATCGAACCCGGGCCCCCTGCATTGGGAGGGCAGAGTCTTACCCACTGGACCACCAGGGAAGTCCCAACATTCATAGATTTTTTTTTTTTTTTTTGCAGTACGCGTGCCTCTCACCGCTGTGGTCTCTCCCGTTGCGGAGCACAGGCTCCGGACGCGCAGGCTCAGCGGCCATGGCTCACGGGCCCAGCCGCTCCGCGGCACGTGGGATCCTCCCAGACCGGGGCACGAACCCGTGTCCCCTGCATCGGCAGGCAGACTCCCAACCACTGCGCCACCAGGGAAGCCCGATAGATGTTTTAACATTGAAGCAGCCTTGCATGCCTGGAATGAACATCTCACATATTTTTCTTACTTGGTGTCTATCTTTCCCATTTGAAGTCAAGTTCCGAGCAGGAAGAGACTTTTTAGTTCATTTTATTCATTGCTGTATCCTAGTCCCCAGAACAACACCAGGCATGCAGTAAGCTCTCGACACCGACCGACTCGTCGAATGAATGAAAGGACAGTAGAGCTGTGAAGAGAATTCCCCAGATTAACGTGAAGGGAGATTCCAGGATGACAGCTGTGGGCAGCCAGTCCAGGTGGAACAGGTCAGAAGGCCCCAGAAGAGCCTATAGAGCCTGCATGCCCTGAGAAGAGGTCTGGTTAGTCTGCAGAGCTTTGGGGTTGATGCGATAAGTACGTAGAAAACTAAGCAAACAAACAAACGAGCGTTTTTATAAAAAAGGTAATTATGATTGTGGTGCATCCACACAATGGAATATTATTCTAAAAAGAAATGAGCCCTCAAGCCACAAGGAGACATGGAAGGAGGAGCCTTAAGTGCACATTTCGAAGTGAAAGCAGCCAATCTGAAAAAGCTACATCCTGTATGATTCTAACTATATGACATTCTGAAAAAGGCAAAGCTATGGAAACAGTTAAAGATCAGTGGTGGCCCGGGGTTAGGAGAGGGAAAGATGAACAGGCAGCACGGAGGATTTCAGGCAGTGAAAGTACTCTGGATGGCACTATAATGCTGGACACGCGTCCTTGTACGTTTATCCAAATCCAGAGACTGTACAACACCAAGAGCGAGCCCTCGTGTAAACTATGGACTTCGGCCGATTGTGATGTGTCAGTGTATGTTTATCAGTAGTTACCAGTGTACCCTCTGCTGGGGGATGTCGATGACAGGGGAGGCCGTGTGTTGGGGTGGGGGGGGCTCAGGGGTATATGGGAAACTTTCTACTCCATTTTGCTGTGAATCTAAAATTGCTCTAAAAAATAAAGTATTTTTTAAGCTAATTATGAACTCCAGAGAAAACAAAAGTTGCCCAGGAGAAGAAGAGAACTCACAGTTCGCTCTATGGGTTCAGTCAGGACCACGTCCAGGTATTTGTGGCGCCTGAAGTTTATGCAATTGAGGGAGGACTCTTTAAGAAAAGAAAAGCACTGGGCTTCCCTGGTGGCGCAGTGGTTGAGAGCCCGCCTGCCGATGCAGGGGACGCGGGTTCGTGCCCCGGTCCGGGAAGATCCCACCTGCCGCGGAGCGTCTGGGCCCATGAGCCATGGCCGCTGAGCCTGTGCTCCGCAACGGGAGAGGCCGCAACAGTGAGAGGCCCGCGTACCGAAAAGAAAGAAAAGAAAAGTAAAGCACTAAATCAGAAAAAATCTGATTACCTCTTAGAGCATTTTCTGGAATCTTTGTACCTTCCCTGTCCTGGTCTGTGGGTATGTTTGGGGTATAATGAAGCAGGGAGGGGGCTGACGAGTCCTGAAAACCCCAAGGAAAGCCCAGAACTCCAGAAGGTACAGCAGCCCCTTGCTGGTGCCCACCAGCCTGGGACAAAGCACAGACTCCTGGGCGAGCACCCCGGACCCCCGCACCGGGCAGGCTCCTTCACCTGCCCCTTCAGTTCACCAGGCCGGTGCCCGGCTCCTCAAGACTCAGCTCCATCAGAACCATTTTTCTTAGATTCCATATATATGTGTTAGCATATACGGTATTTGTTTTTCTCTTTCTGACTTACTTCACTCTGTATGACAGACTCTAGGTCCATCCACCTCACTACAAATAACTCAATTTCGTGTCTTTTTAGGGCTGAGAATAAAGATGCAGATGTAGAGAATGGACTTGAGGACCCGGCGGGGTGGGGAGGGTAAGCTGGGACGAGGTGAGAGGGCAGCATGGACATATATACACTACCAAACGTAAAATAGGTAGCTAGTGGGAAGCAGCCGCATAGCACAGGGAGATCAGCTCTGTGCTTTGTGACCACCTAGAGGGGTGGGATAGGGAAGGTGGGAGGGAGACGCAGGAGGGAGGGGATATGGGGATACATGTATACTATACGTATAGCTGATTCACTTTGTTATACAGCAGAAACTAACACACCATTGTAAAGCAATTATACTCTAATAAAGATGTTAAAAAAAAAAAAAAAAGACTCAGCACCAAGGCTGCCTCTTCCATGAACGAACTCCCCACCCTCTTCCCCAGAGTTGCCTGCAGGGGGCATGGGAAGAAGCCCAACCGTCATGGATTCGAACCCCAGCTCTGCCACGTGTGAGTTACATGGCCTCGGACGTGTCACTTGACCTCCCAGAACTTCGTGTTTTATCTTCTGTAAATGCAAATAATAATGTCCGTCCTGCAGGGCTGTTGGCAAGAACAAACACCTGATATAATGCTGGACACGTGGTGAGGGTGAGGAAACACGTCTTTCTTACTTTTTTTTGGCGGGGGGTGGGGCACGCGGCATGTGGGATCTTAGTTCCCTGACCAGGGCTTGAACCCGTGCCCCTCTGCAATGGAAGCGTGGAGTCTTAACCACTGGACCACCAGGGAAATCTCACATCTTTCTTACTTTCTAGTAGCATTAAAAATTTTTTTAATTGTGGTAAAATACAAATAAAAGAAAATTTACCATCTTAACCAGGTTTTAAGTGTACAGTTCTGTGGCATTAACTACGATCACATCGTTAATCACCACCATCCATCCACAGAACTGTTTTCGTCTAGCAACACAAATTCTGTCCCCATTAACACTCACTCCCCATTCCTGCTTCCCCACAGTCCCTGGCACCCTCCGTTCTACTTGCCGTATCCCCCCCCCAGCATTGGGGCTGGCCTCTGTGACTGGACTCCTTCCTTCTACCTGGTGTAGTGAGCTATTTACCTATATTAATCCCCCACCTGGTCCAGCGGCGTCTCATATCCCTGCCCCACAGAACCTAGTACAGGGCCAGGCCCACAGTAATACCAGCTCCAGGAAGAAGTGCAGAATGCCTGAGGGAGATGAACAGACAAAGGGTCCCGTATGGGTTCATGGGTTTGTGGTCTGATTTTACATAGTGGGTGCTCAGAAAATATTGAAAGTCTAAAAGATGATATAAACGATTTTTGTAAACTTCAACGTATTTTTTGAACGGGTAAAGTATTCTAAATTCAAAAGCCACAAAAGAAAACACAGTGGAAAGTAAGGTCCCTCCACCTCCGCCCTCCAGCCCCTCACCAGAGGCAGCTGCTGTGACCAGTTTCTCCTGTATCTGTCCAGAGGCGTGTGTGTGTGTGTGTGTTCGTGCACTTACACACACACACACACCAGCACGCTTTACACAGTGTTCTGCACATTTTCCTTTCATTCTCTTGTCTCATCTTTGAGATCCGTCTCTATCCTTCTCTATCAGTACATAGAGGGTTTCCCTACTGGTCTTTTTGCCTTGTTTCGTTTTGTCTTTTGTTTTTGTCCACACTGCACAGCCTGTAGGATCTTAGTTCCCCCACCAGAGATCGAACCCGGGCCCTTCAGCAATGAAAGCCCGGAATCCTAACCACTGGACCGCCAGGGAATTCCCTCCCTGCTCTTTGACAGATTCATTGAGTGGTGTATTTATCTTGTCACCTGTTTACCCTGGTCACGTGAGTTGTTTACTATGTCACCTGTTGATGAACCTTCGGACGTTTCCAAATTCTTGCTGTTCAAGCAGTACAGGGAACAACCCCAGGTCTCACTCACGAATGATTGAGTTTTGTTTATAGCTGTGTGTATGTGTTAATCCCAAACTCCTAATTTATCCCTCCCCCCTCCCGTTTGGTAACCGTGTTTGTTTTCTATGTCTGTGAGTCTCTTTCTGTTTTGTAAATAAGTTCATTTGTACCATTTTTTTAGATTCCACATATAAGTGATTTTCATATGATGTTTGTCTTTCTCTGTTGCAGGCAACAGAATCGTATTCAGCCTTAGAAGGAAAGAAATTCTGACCCATGCTACAGCATGGATAAACCTTGAGGACTTTATACTAAGTGAAATCAGCCAGTAACATAAGGGCAAATACTGTATGATATCATTCATATGAGGTATTCAGAGTACTCAGATTCACAGAGACAGAGAGCCCGTGGGGCGACCAGAGCGGCCTATCTAGCTGGACGTCCAGAAAGGGCTTCTCTTGGCCGCCAGAGTCCCTGCAGAGACAGGAGTAAAGCTGGGAGGAACCCAGATTAGACCATGAGTGTCAAGTGCATAATGGGGTGGGGGGCATGGGTCAGAGCCTGTCCCTGAACCTGGAGTGGAACCGAAGCCCCCTCCCCACCCCACAGGGTGTGTGTGTGTGTGTTTGTGTGTGCGTGTGTATGGTCCTAGAGTAGGTAACGCCTGCGGTCACATCAGACGCTCTGACGGTCTATGTGAATCCACGGGCGCGTAGGTGCATCCACAGACCCGAAGGCACATCTGTGCACAGACTGCAGATCACAGTGGGCCCGGCAAGGGCGCGCCGCGGTGCTCCTAGCCTGGCGATCACATATTCGGATGGATGGGGCGATGCTGCCTGCTCTGATCCCTAACTCATTATTAAGCTCCTCGCTCTTTGCAGACGCTCCCTGCGCCTCCCCCGCTCACGGCTGCGGCGGCGCAGGCGCCGGGGCCGAGCCGAGCGCCGAGCTGGGAGCGAGCAGCCGCGCTCCG